GCCAGCCTTCTGGTTAGCAGTCAAGTGCCTTAGGCACTATGCTACCAGAGCTCCCTCACTTCCAAGTAGGATTTTTAAAAATCTTAAAAGTTAGGGGGACGCTCCTATTTTTGTGTGCGAGGAGCTCGTCCTCGCGTGCGTCCTAGGACTGCACGCGCGATGGGGTCTAAGTTCGTCTACCCGGGGCCCAGAGGCTTTGTCCCGGGGTGGCCGACGTGGGCCTCAGCGGCCAGGATTGGGGTACCTAGAAGGCTCGGTCGCCCGCCTGAGGGAGCGGGAGGAGAAGAGTGGCAGTAGCGTAGAGGCTGAAGGCGCGTGGAGCCGGCCCGCCCTCCTCACACAGCCTCCCGCTTGGCGGCTGGGCCGCAGGCCGCGCCCGTTTCTCCAGCCCCGCCGCCGGGGAGGGGTTTCCCGGGACGAGCCGGCCCCTTTTATCCAGGAAGTGAAAGCGACGTCGGGGTCAATGAAAACAAACGGGGAGCCCTGGGGGGAAGGAAGGCTGGCAAGGAGGAGGAGGGAGTGCCGGGGCGCGGGAGGGAGCTGCCTGGCGGCGGAAGAACGAGCAGGAGGCGGGCCGCGCCTGTGTTCTTGCCGCTGCCGCAGCCTCGCCTCGCCCGGGGATGCCCGAGCCCGCGCGTTGCTTCCTCCGAGGACAGTGCGGCGCCTGCCGGCTCGGCCTGTAAGGGCCGCCACGTCCCGGCGGCGCGCGCCGACTGAGGGCGGCTTGGTGGCAGCGGGGGGCGCCCGGGCAAGTCCGGAGGGGCTGCTCCAAGCTCCGCGCCTTCCTGTACAAACGCGGCCGGCGCCGGGCTGGGAGGATGCGCTGCGCGGGGTTCTGAAGGATGGAGGGGGTTCTGTACAAGTGGACCAATTATCTCACAGGTAGGGGGGCTAGCGGGCTCTCGGGGGCAACGGGGAGAGACGGAGGGTTTGGGTGAGTTCAGGCGAGGAGACTCACAGAGAGTGGGTTTTACCTGGCGTCAGGCTTAATCCCTTTCTGTGTTCCTTATAGAGCCCATCTGGCCTCTTCAGGGAGAGTTCGGGACTGCGCACCTTCCTGAGGGTGGGAAGTGCACCTGACCACTTCTGTGAAAATACTTGTTCGCCTCTTGTAGCCTCCAGAACAGTTCCCACCGTACATGTGTTGTTTCAATCCCAGTTTTATTCACAGTTAACATTTTGTTAATGCCAGAGTTGTCCACGTATTGGATTGAAACGGACCCTGTAAGATCATTTTTTTTTTTTTTTTTAAGAAATCGTTTCTGTATTTCTCTTAATTTCTTTAGCTCCAAACGCTCACTTGTTGAAGTTGTTAGAGTTGAGCAATAATGAACTTGGAAGCTATTCTTAGAAACTATTTTTTTAGGGTTTGGTTGTCAATGAGGTAACTTTATGTTTGGAATTCAGCTGTGTATGAGACATGATGGAAGAAAGTGTAATACACCAAAGTGGACCAGACGATCCGTTTCACCCATGAAGTAGGTTGGAAGGAAGAACTCCGAAGAGTTACACGTTTCTGTAATAATGAGAGACTAGAAGGGAAGGGCACCTCTCCATGATACCAACGACCTGGCTTATTAAAAATGCCTTAGGGCTGAGTTATAGTCCTATCTCTGCCATTAGGTAGCAGTAAGGGCAAGTCACTTATTCTGTCAGGATCATAGGCAGTTAAGATCAGTGTGATCAACTAGTTTATCTTGAAGGTTGTTGTTGTTGTTGTTGTTATGTGCCGTCGAGTCGGCCCCGACTCATAGCGACCCCTCCTTGGGTTTCCGAGGCAGTTATCACTACGGAAGTAGGATTGCCCAACCTTCCTTCCGAGGAGTGGCTGGTGGGTTTGAACCGCCAGTCGTCTGGTTAGCAGGCAAGTGTCTTAGCCACTATGCTACCAGAGCTCCCTTCTTCCAATTCTAGGAATTCATGATTTCACCAATTAGAGGAATGGGGAATGCATTTAAAATAAATTTAACTAGCAAACAGATTTCTTGGTCCGGCATAATAGACGAATTTCGACTTGGCGCCCCTTTACTAAGTCTGCCAAAAGTTGAACCTTTTGGTAATTTTTTGGTACACTCAATTTGTGTCCACCTGGCCTGGTGGACCTTGTGCATTTCTCTTTAAGGATCGTCACTGTTGCCCCTGTTTTTCTGATTAATTGGAATGCTAAAGCCAGGTTTATAGCAGCAAGGGCCTTAGAAGTTAGGACACATGGATGTTTTATTTTGCTCTCATTAAAAATATAGACACTTTGCTTCTATAAATGACATGTTTTAACAGGAAGCATTTTTAAAATGCGAGAAATAATGATTTTTTCATTAAACATTTTTATTTGAGTTGCTGTGAGAAGTTACACTGTTAAGTTGAGGTGTAGTGTTAAACTTTTAAGACTGTATTGCTATGCGTTGATATGCAAATGATCATCTTTTTGCAAACATTTGTAAGCCAATTGCCCTGGGAAATAATGACTTGAAACCACTTAGCAGAACCCAGAGCAGGGGGCGATGACTAAGATTAAACTTGGTGATTGGGGTGAAACTTGGTCTTGGTGGTGATTTTTGTCATTTCCTATTGTATGATAGAGTACCAGCTGGTTGAGCTTTTAACCACATGTGCTTTAGGTTTCAATCTTTGCCACACATTTCAAGTTAACCACTAGTTTGCGGTATAGAAACTTGGTGAAACAAAATATTCTATTTGGAAGAATTCCATTCTTAAAATTTAAATTTGACTCTAAGGCATGCTGATCATTACTTTTAGTTCATCTTAGGTGCGTAGGATGAGGAGCTGTTCATACTAACTAATCTTTGAGGTGTCTTCCAATTTAATGATAGTTTTTGGAGAAAGCTTTGCAAAAAAAAATCCTATTGGATTTCAGTAACATTTGGTAGTTTGAGATAAAAAGAATGTGTTTTCTGGGGAAAAAAAAAAAACCACGAAGTGAATATCTTTTTCACAGGTATAGCCCTCTGTTATATAAATGTGTGAATCAATTTTTTTTGTACCAATTACAATCCCAACAATAAATAGCTCTCTGCTTATCTCCCCCCGTGACTATTCCTTCTTAGCTATGCATTACTGTCTGTCCAGCTTTCCCCCTATGCAGTTGCTGCCCTGATCTCTCACATTTGATTGTTCTAAAGAATACATCTCCCTGGGTAGATGTTCTGTTAGTAGGCCTTTCTACTATTTGGCTGAGAGCTAATCCACAGAAGTGAGTCCAGTTTCAGGCTGGAAAGATAAGCTGGGGCCATAGTCTCCGGGGTTTCACCAGTATCAGTATCTTTCTGACCAGTAATTCTGGTCATTTTTGTGATTGTGAATTTTGTTCCATGTTTCTTCCTCTCATTCTACCCAGTGTCTCCAATTTGGATTCCTTTCTGAGTGGTTGGCATTGGTAGCTGGGTGCCATCTACTTCTCGTCTCAGGTTTGTAGAGGTTTTAGTCCCTTGAACTATTTCTATATGACTTTGATTTTCTTCTTCTAGGAGCTCTGGCAGGAGCTCTTGCAGCGCAGTGCCTAAGGCATCTGACTGCTAACCAGAAGGCTGGAGGTTCAAACCCACAGCCACTCCTCAGAAGGAAGGTTGGGCAATCTACTTCCATAGTGATATGACCTTGGAAACCCAAGGAGGGGTTGCTGTGAGTCGGGTTTGACTCAAGGGCAGTGAGTTTGGGTTTTTTTTTTTCTTCACTCTTCTTTGTTTCAGATGAGGGGAGACCAATACTTGCTTCTTAGAGGGCCACTGGAAAGCTTTTAAGATCCCAGTTGCTACTCATGAAAGTAGAATGTAGAATAGTACTTTCATGTACTATGTTGTGCCAGTTGAGTTTGATGCCCGCCCCCCCCCCCCAAGACTATGGTCCTTAGCCCACAGGCCTGGTGACTCACTCCTTCAGGATGCTTGGCTGTTGCTGAGAAGCCACCCAAGCTTGTCCCGTTCTATAATGTATAAGAATATTTTTGTAGCACAAATACACATCAATTACAGTTTTTTATGAAATATTTCTCCAAAAGGGTATGGAGAGATAATTAACAGCCTTGCTTAGAAAAATGTATCCAACCAGAGTTACCTTTTTTTTTTTTTTTAAAAAAAAACCAACTTGTTATTCTAAAATATATCTGACAAAAATTTGCCATTTTAACCATTTCTAAATGTACATTTCAGTGACATTAACTACATTCAACATTTTGTGCACCTATCACTACTATCTATTTCCAAAATTTTTCACCATCTCAAAGCCAGGGTTACCTTTAGGTTGCTACAAATTCTAAATGAATCATTTTACTCAATGTTTAAGGAAATAGTTACAATAATGTGGACTTGCAAACTCACAATTTGTCTTATAAGCATACTGTACCTGAGGTGAAGTTTTCACCACACTTTGTTTATAATTGTTTGCCAGGGTGAACTGGTGATTGAAAGATGGTGTTTTCATCATTTCTATACATACTGAATGCAATATACTCATGGATATACTGCATGTATATACTGTTGTGGATAACATATGATATCTCATTTTACTGGTATCCAATCATTCATTCATTTATTTGTTTAATCATTTGAGAAAAAGTTTTCTTTTTTTAAGTATCTGTTATGGGTCAGGCATAATTTTAGATGTTGGGAATGGAGTGATGAACAAGATAAATGTGATGTCCCAAAAGAACTTACCTTCTAATTTGCTAGGTATCATTACAGGATGTAGTGTTCCATAAAAATAAATTTTCTAGGCATCTGAAGTGTTTTGTTTTTAAATATTTTGGATACTCATCTTTCTAAACTATATTATGACATTCTCTGCCTTCTTAAACACAGTAGCAAAGTAGAATCTAGCCTTTTTATGTTAACTCAGAGTTGTCATTTCAGAAGTGATAGTGGTAGTCCATAAAGACAATGTTCTATATCCTACTTTGGTGAGTAGCACCTGGTGTCTTAAAAGCTTGAGTGGCTATCTAAGATGAAACTATTGGTCTCTTCTAATCCGGAGGAAAGAAGAGTAAAGAAAATCAAAGACTCAAGGAAATAATTAGTTCAAGGGACTGACTAATGGACCAAGTAAACCACAGCCTCCACTACCCTGAGACCAGAAGAACTAGATGGTGCCCAGCTACTGCTAAGAACTTCTGATCAAGATTGCAGTGGAAGGTCTGGGACAGAGAAGGTAGAAAAATGTAGAATGAAATTCAAAATAAACAAAGACCAGATTTACTGGTCTGGGAGAGACTGGTGGAACCTAGAGACTATGGCCCTGGGACACCCTTCAGGCCTGGAATTGAACCTGCCCCTGGGAATCAACTTTCAGCCAAACAATAGACAGGCCTATGAAGTGAACATCAACACCAAGAGGAATGTACTCTTCAGAAATAATCAACCATACGAGACCAAAAGGTAACCTGTGCCCCAAAATAAAGCTCAAATGATAGAAGGAACAGGAACGAAAGACAGATGGAAATGTGGAACCCAAGGAGGAGGTGGGAAGAATACTGTTCCATTGAGGGGATTGCAACCAGTATCACAAAACAAAATGTGTATAAATTGTTGCATGAAAAACTAATTTGCTCTGTAAACTTCCACTTGGATGACAATTAAAAAAAATTATCTATGTATCTATGGTATACTTACGACAGTGTAACAGGAAAATAAAAGTGATATAGGTAAAGTGTTTTAGACAGGTAAGTCTGAGATCTGTATCACGGCATAAGAGTCATTTGCCTTTCTACCACCACTCCGTATGCTGAGTAAATAATGCGAGAAGCTGGACTATATGAAGAAGAACTTGGCATCAGGTTTGGAGGAAGGCTCGTTAACAACCTGAGATACACAGATGACACAACTTTGCTTGCTTCTGAAAGTGAAGATGACTTGGAGCACTTACTGATGAAGACTAAAGACTATAGCCTGCAGTATGGATTACACCTCAATATAAAGAAAACAAAATTCCTCACAACTGGACCAATAAGCAGCATCACGATAAATGGAGAAAAGTTGAAGTTGTCAAAGACTTCTTATTACTTGGTTCTATAATCAATAACAATGGAAGTAGCAGTCAAGGTATCAGGTAATGTATTGTATTGGACAAATCTGCTACAAAAGACCTCTTTCAGGTGCTGAAGAGCAGGGATGTCTCCTTGAAGACTAAGATGCCCCTAACCCGAGCCACGGTGCTTTCAGTTGCCTCATATGCATGTGAGAGCTAGAAACAAATAAGGAAGACCAAAGAAGAGTTGATGCTTTTGAGTTGTGGTGTTGGCAAAGAATGCTAAAAGTACTGTGGATTGTTAAAAGAACTAACAAATCTATCCTGGAAGAAGTGCAGCTGGAGTGCTCCTTGGAAGCGAGAATGGCCAGACTTCATGTGACCTACTTTGGTCATGTTGTCTCCATTCTCTGGAGAAGGATGTCATGGTTGGTAAAGTGGGGGGTCAATGAAAAAGGGAACAGCCCTCAATGAGATGGATTAACACTGTGGCTGCAGTGATGGGCTCAGGTATAATAGAGATTGTGAGGCCAGCACAAGACCGGGCAGTGTTTCGTTCTGTTGCTCAGAGGGTCACTATGAATTGGAGGCGGTGGCACATAACAACAACAACAGAACACCCACCACTCTAGGGACAATCTGGCCCTGGAAAATTGGAATTGATAAAGTGACTAGGATTTGAACACTCAGGGTTAAAAAGTGGTACACGTTAGCCTAGAACACTTGTGCTCAATTGTGACTTAATAGTCACAGAAAGAACAAGGATAGTCCCATTGCCTCTAGCATGATCACTGTGTTATTTAGTCAGTGAACTACTGTAGATTAGTAGTGTGCTCAATAAGATTCTAGGGAACACTGAGTTTGGCCTGTAAGGGTAGTCAGAGTTGGGCACTGAGGGAAGCCATCTATGGTAGCTGTATGCTCTAGTCATTGAATAAAAGTTAAATAAATGATTGCAGTTTCTGGCTGCTTCTGCTAGAGCTGTTCAGCAGTAGAGAAGGGAAGGGGTGGACATCCATGCTCTTCCCACAGAGTATGCAGCTTCTGTGAGAGACTGGAGTTCATTTAGCACTTGCTGTGTACAGGGGAGTTTGCTTAGGCAATATATTTTATAAAAGAAGAGAATGTCATATTTTGGAATTAGAGGGCTTAGTGGCACCTGAGAGGTCATATAGTTCAACGCACTCATTTTGGGAACTAGAAATTTTAAAGGTTTATTAAAAGGAAAAGATTTATTCCAGGTTTCTGAAACAATAATAGTGGAGCTAGAAGCATGTCTTTTGTTGCTTTTTCCATTAAATTATAATCCAACTGTGTTCCCTTTTAGGAAAAGAGAGGAGTTATGTTGTACCCTTATAGCACTATTATTGAGAATCAGTCTTACGAGCTATTGATGAGAATTTTCTCCCTACAAAGTGTAGATTGATGCGAGAACATATTGGGCAAGACTTGATCATTAAAAATTTCATTGTCAGCATATTATTTTAGACCTAAGACATACTGTGAATGGCATAGTTTGAAATCACAGTTTTCTAGGTGGTGAAAGTAATGCATTTCCTTACTAACCTTTTGTTATTTATGATCTTTGTAGGTTGGCAGCCTCGTTGGTTTGTTTTAGATAATGGAATCCTGTCCTACTATGATTCACAGGATGATGTTTGTAAAGGGAGTAAAGGAAGTATAAAGATGGCAGTTTGTGAAATTAAAGGTAAGTGAATATATGGAATTGGAGGAATTTGAAGTTAGGGAGTAAAGCTTCATCATACTCCATCCAAAAGGAAAAATCTTTCTAACCAAGTTTAGAGATCCTCTAATATCATTTATTTCCTTAGTAAACTTTGGAACAAAATGAAACAAAGGTTTAGCATTGCTAAACACAATTTTTTGCTCTCTCTCTCTCTATAAATGTACTTTGAATTGAATTCAGAATATTTGTGCTAGTCTTCTTCCACTTTGAATTTGAAATTTCACCAATTTCTTGTGATGCTACATTAGTGTCCATGCTGAGTCTACAAAGTTCTCTTTAATTTTCATTGTAGAAAGGTGTTACAAAGGTTAGAAACTGAGAAACTGAGCTGTAAAGATAAGGTCAGTTATGTTGGGTTTTGATAAAATATGAAGTTAGAGTCATAAACTGGTTCTTTGCTGGATCAGAGATAAGCTCTACTAGGTGATAGTAATGTTCTTTCCTAAACTGGAGAGAAAATTCAAGAGGTCATGCTGATTAAATTTTATGAAAAAAGGTTCATTTGTATGTGTGGTTGGGCAGTGGAGGAGCAGGTAGACAAAATGATAATAAAAAATTTTTAAAAGTTTTAAATTCTCCTCCAAAGAGAAATGAAGGAGAAATTAGAGCATGAGACTGGTGAATGTTAAACTCCCTGCAAACTTTCTCCTTTCTTCTCTGTAGCTTGAATACCTGCCATTCATGAAAGGTGGTTTCTTTGACATGGTGTGCTCTTGTTTGAGGCTACCAGATACACCTGAGTCACCTAACCAGTATTTTCAGTAATTAATCATCTAATTTAGGGCTTTTACCAGACTTCTGAGCCCTTTATAATATGGCTTTACCTTGCCTGTCCATTTCATAAATATCATTATAGTAAGTCCCCAGGTTATGAACGTTAAACTTAAGAACAACATATAATTGCCCTTTAATGTTATGTAAATTTCTCCTCACTTTGAAATGATAGAACTAACCCCTTCTTGCAACAAATTCTTCATCACAGTCACCTTCATGTGCTGCACCTGTAGCTTTTAAATCACTGAAAAATGTTTGAGGCTTTTCCTACGCTAAACACCCACTGCCATCAAGTTGATTCCAACTCAGTGACCCTATAGGACAGAGTAGAACTGCCCATCGGGTTTCCAGTCTTTCCGAAGCAGAATGCCTCATCTTTCTTCTACGAAGCAGCTGATGGGTTTGAATTGCTGACCTTTTGGTTGACAGCTGAATGCTTTAACCACTGTGCCACCAGAGCTGCTTTTCCTTGCATTAAAGTAAGACATAATAAAAGTCATAGTCACCTTTTCTGACTTACCTAGAAATTTGACTTACATGCACATAGGAATGCATCTCATGTGTAACCCAGGGACTGCCTGTACTCTGCAGTACATCAAGGCTTCAGATAGGCTTTTCTCCCTATATCCTCAATGCATTCTGTGTTTGTTTTTCTTCATCTAAGCCTTTTTTTCATACTTTTTTTCTCTTAACCAACTCCTACTGTCATCAAATTATTATCGGAGCCTTTTTCATTTCCTGCTTCTTCATAGCTTTCTCACAATTGTAATTGCACATGAAATCTACACCAGTCTGTTCAGCATCTAAGTTTGGTGATTGGTTTTGGTCTGTCAGGTTGTTTTCTTAGTTAAATTGTCAGCTCTATGACAGCAAAGACTGCATTTTTCTCCCACTACCAGCATTTCTCCATTTTACCAGCATTGCTCTGAGATGAGTGACACAAGTTTAAGGAGCACTGGTGGTACAGTGATTATATATTCAGCTGCTAACCAAGAAGTTGGCAGTTCAAACCAATTTCTTGTGTTCAAACAAGCCACTGTGAGAAAAAGATGTGGTAGTCTGCTTCTGTAAAGATTACAGCCTTGGAAACTCTTTGTGGCAGTTTTGTAGGGTTGTAGTGAGTTGGAATCGATTCCATGACATGTCTTTGGGTTTTTTTTTTGTTGTTAAAACAGATTTAATCTTACAACAGAAGTTTGAGATTGGAGATTGGCTTAGCATAACATTCTGGTTTAGCTCTCTTTTGTCAGCGTATTAAGGAGGAAAGAATAAAGAATAGGAGAGGGTGTGAAAGGAGGGAAGAAGGACAGGGCTCCAAAATACCTATGCTTTTCAAGTGATTATAAATGCTCCATTAGTTGAGAACTTTTGTTCTAATGGAAACAACAGCAACAACAACAACAAAAAAACACCTCACTGGCATCAAGTTGGGTCCAGTTCATGGAGACTCCTCCTTGGATTTCTGAGGTGTCACCTTTATAGAAGTAGATTGCTCAATCTTCCTTCTGAGGAGTGGCTGGTGGGTTTGAACTGCCAGCCTTCTGGGTAGCAGTCAAATGCCTTAGGCACTACGCCACCAATGGAAGGTGGCTATAAATTACTATTTACTGTGGTAGGCTTGCAGATATCAGAACATAGACTCTGCTTTCAAGGAAGTCAGTAAATAATGTGTGGTAAGCCTGGCAATGCTTTTTAAGATACTACAGAGGTCCCCAGGGGAAGGAGTTCTTGAGTCTCACTTCTCAGTGTTTCATCGCTATTTTCTTTTTCACGTTCCTCCACAAGTTTGGCAGCACTGGCAGTGTGAATATATGTGAGAATGGTGGTTTGGAAGGTGCTCCTAAGTAACCCCTTAAGGAGTGGCACTGGTTGTACCTTGGATCATAGTTTGTTGTCTTAGGTGTCTGAACCATCTAATACTGTATAATAGTGATTTGGTTCTCCCCAAATTACTTAATGTCTGTGATCAATAAAGAGCTCTGGTGCCACTGTCATTAAATGCATTGGGCTGGTAACCAGAAGGTGAGCTGTTCACACCCACCAGCTGCTTCATTGGAGAAAGGTGGGAAAGTCTGCTTCCATAAAGATTTATGGCATTAGGAACCCTGTGGGGCAGTTCCACTCTGTTCTGTAAGGTCCCTATGAGTCAGAATCGACTCAGTGGCAGTGGGTTTGGTTTGGTTACTGTAGTTCCCTTTTGTTTATCATTGCAGTCCATTCAGCAGACAATACAAGAATGGAATTAATCATTCCAGGAGAGCAGCATTTCTACATGAAAGCGGTAAATGCAGCTGAAAGACAGAGGTGGCTGGTTGCTCTGGGGAGCTCCAAAGCTTGTTTGACTGATACTAGGACTAAAAAAGAAAAAGGTAATTAATAGTTTTTTCCCTATGGTGACAGTATTTTCTCAAACATAAACATAAATTTATCATTTCCACTTTTAGTAATATATCCCAAGAAATAATCATCATCTTAGAAAATTTGTAAATAATGTTAAAGTTTAAATTTAAGGAAATAGTTCAGTAAACTATATGCTGCTTACAAGGATAAGGCTAATCAAATATCAAATCCATACTTTCCTACTTTTCTATTCAGTTCTGACATCAGCTGCCCATGTGGCACTTCTTTCTCTGACCATAGCCACCTGGAGCTGGGTCAGATGTCATAAATTAAAAGGGCACCATCCTTCAGACTCTGCCAAACAGGCAGATGCAAGCTGGAGGTTTGAGAGCTTGCATGGCACCTTCACCTCTGACATGCTGGCTACAAATTCAGAGGTCTCTCTTTACCCCTTCAGGATACCAGCCACAAGTTTGGGAGTCCCTTAGGGCTCCCTTGCTTCTGACATGCGGGCTCCCACTACTGCTTTGGGTTCAATAACTTGTTTCAACAACTCACAAAACTCATAGAAAGTCCTGTACTTACGGTAATAGTTTTATTGTAGGAAAAAAGGATACAGACGAAGAGATGCGTAGGTCAAAATCTTGGAGGCTTTCTACCGTGAAGCTTCCATGTCCCCAAAAGGGATGCACTACCTTCTCACATGATGGATGTCTTACCAGCTGGGAAGCCCATGGAGCTTCTGTGTCAGAACTTCTTTTGGGGGTTGGAAGGGTGGGGATTTCACAAGATAGTAGTAATATGAGGTATTATACGGTGGGGCTCACTGGCCTGGCCAGCCGTCACTTTATCACCTCACACAACCTGTTAGGTGTAGTCTGGAGACTTTACTGAAGACACTGAAATGCCAAAATTTTAGAGTTATCTCTCAGGAACCAAGGTCAAAGGCCAAATCACTTTATGTATAGCTCATGCTCCTTCCATAGGCTGATTATGTGGCCATTAAAATATTTATAAGGCATTTTAATAATTGGGAAAATGTCCAATATTGAATGATAATTATAAAAAGCAGAATTCAGAACTACATATGGTGTTAGTATGCATTGATTGGCTCATAAAGGATATGTTAGAATTGGTTAAGTTTATACCACTGGAAGGGAAATGTGTGGGAAGGAGACTCATTTTTATTTTATACTCTGCTGCTTTTGACTTTGCCGTGTGCATATATTGTCCATTTAAAAAAGATTAAATAAAAATCAAAAGCAGAGCGAATGCCTTATGGTATTAATTAAATGCAGATATAATGTGAGAGTAACAATAGTATTTATATCTGGATAGTGATTACAGTTATTTGATTTTTCTCTTCTATATATATATATTTAGGAGCTCTGGTAGCATAGTGGCTAAGACACTTGCCTGCTAACCAGAAGGCTGGTGGTTCAAACCCACCAGCCACTCCTCGGAAGGAAGGTTGGGCAATCCTACTTCCGTAGTGATACTGCCTCGGAAACCCAAGGAGGGGTCGCTATGAGTCGGGGCCGACTCGACGGCACATAACAACAACAACAACAACATATATATATATTTAGTTTTCCAAAATTTTCTATCAAGTATTACTTTTTAAATTAAAAACCAGTGAAAGCTACTTAGTGAAATCAACTAAATTATGAGTATTCAAAAGTGAAGGCCTAGGATTAAATTTATAATGATTTCAAATACATGAAAGAACATGAAGAACATCGTGGATAGAGTATGGCTAAGGGCAGAGTAAGGAGCTGTGGTGGTGTAGTGCCTAAGGCATTTGACTGCTAACCAGAAGGTTGGTAGTTCAAACCCACCAGCAGCTCCATGGAAGGAAGATGGGGCAATCTACTTCTGTAGAGATTTACCTCCTTGGAAACCCAAAGGGGGTCTTCTCCATGAATCAGAATCAACTTGATGGCAGTGAGTTTTTTTTTTTTTTTGGTAAGGTCAGAATAAGAAGAAATGGACTTAAGTTGGGGCAGAAATTAATATTCAAAACCATTTGCCATAGATTTGATTCTAACTTGTGGCGACCCCATATATGTGAGTAGAACTGGTCATGCTCCATAGGGTTTTCTAGTGGCTAATTATCTAGAAGTAGATCATCAGACTTTTCTCTTGAGGTGCCTCTGGGTAAAACTTGAACCTCTGAACTTTCAGTTAGCTTCCAGAAATTGATTTAGGTTAGATCAGATGGGCAGATAGAGCTGCCTGATCCTCTCTGGCTAGCAGTGCCACAAAGCAGTGCTGCTGGCTGGGCACAGTGATTACAAAGAAGCACTAGAATCTCCTGTGGGTATATTTTTCCTTTCTCTGCTGCTTGAATTTCTAGCTTAGAAGGTATTGGCTGGTGAGTGGCTGAGATTATGGCTGAATAGTTAGTCTACTTAGAGATATTAGCAAGAAAAAATAAAACTCTTAAAAATATTTTGAAAATAGTATAAAGTAAAAATGAAGCCATGGCAGGAACAGAAGGAAATGAATGAATGTTTCTATATAATAAATTTAATTACATAAAATTTGAAAACATTGATATGCCAAAACATGCAATAAAGAAAATTGATAGGGCGCCGACAGATCTGGGAAAGTATTTGTGATGTACAGAATAGAAAAAAAGGCTACTCTCTGTAATGTATAAGAACTTTTACAAATTACTGATTTATATATTAAGAGAAAAACCTGAGTTGCTGGGTAGTACAATTGGTTAACACACTCAGCTGCTAACTGAAAGGTTGGAGGTTCCAGTCTACCCAGAGGCACCTCAGAAGAAAGGCCTGGCAATGTACGTCTGAAGAATCAGCCACAGAAAACCCTGTGGAGAATGTAAAACAAATGTGCCCTGTAGATTTGCATCCAAAGCACGGTAGAATTTAAAGAAAAAGAAAACCTGTGGAGTGCAGTTCTACTTTGACACTCATGGGGTCGCCATGAGTTAAGGTTGGCAATTGGTTAACAGAAAAAACAAGTGTTAGAACTGGAAGGATGGGTAAAGGGCAAGAAAAGCCAATTCACAAAAGAAGAAATGTAAGTACTATTCATATGAAAGACAATAAGTAATAGAGTGAAAACGTCCTTTATAAAACATCCTGTATAAAACATCCAATTTTTCTTTAATTCATCACCCTGTTTCTGGAAATTAATTTACCTAGACAGTGAGTTGGGTCCAACTTAAGGGCACATAACAACAACAACAGACATTATGGCAGATATATGACTGTCATTTGATTTCCAATGAGGTAAATAGAAGGCTATTCCTCAGGACCCCTGTATCCCATGTCCAAAGTCTTACATCTCTTAAGCAATAGTTATTTATGTTGATTGTCTTACTTTTTTTTAATGATCCCATTTTGTTATATTGTTTAATGAGTATGAAAATAATTTCATTGAACATTTGTATATGTTCCTTTCAGAAATAAGTGAAACCAGCGAATCTCTGAAAACCAAAATGTCTGAACTTCGTCTCTACTGTGACCTCCTAATGCAGCAAGTTCATACCATCCAGGAATTTGTTCACCATGATGAGACTCACTCATCTCCCAGTGTAGAGGTACAACAAAGATACTTCCTGCCAGTTCAGTTACGCTTTGGCAGAATGCTAGTGGAGGAAATACTTCCCATAAGAGAACAATTTTCAGAATGAGCTATTCTGAACTTTACAGAAGCCTGTGTGGGAATCTAAGGGATCTTCTAGGTTATAAATGTGCAGCTGCAGTAAAGCAGGAAGCAGCACATTTCTCAAGGGAATCAAGGCCTATCTTTGCAGCCAATCTCATAATTTGTGGGTTAGGGTAGAGAAGAAACTTTCCAGACTTTGTTTTCCATGCTGACTGCATGAATTTTTGGATAATTGCTATTCTCTTTCTTTTGTTACTAAGATCCTAGCTTCAGGTACTGAGAATTGATCATTCAGTTTTATGAAATAACTTAAAAAAAAATTCTCAGAACAATGATGTAGAAATCAAAATTCAGATACAAAGGACCTGGATGTGAACCCTGCTCCTCTTCTGATAAAAGGCTAGCATAGGTTCTTGTCCTCTTACCTTATTTGCTAGAAGTAGGAGAAGAAATTTTTCTACTTCTCCTGTGTCCTCCTCCTTGCTTCTACCTGTTGGGGAGGAATCTTGTGTGAGGTAGTATATAGGCTGCAGATAACAGAAACCCACACCAATAGTACTTTCAACCCTAAGAGTACTTACTGTTGCACAGCAAGCTCTTTGGAGGTTGATGCCCTCATTATTTGTTTCAGCAATTCAGTGTCAGCTTCAGGGACCCAGGCTTGTTTGATTCTGCCCTTCTTGGTGTGTTGGGTTTTTCTTCTCACGCTTGAGGCTTCAAGATAACACACACAGGCAGGATGTAGTGGAGTGGCCGGGGTGGAGAGAGATCTTCTCAACTTGCCATCCTTGCCTTTTATCAGGGAACGAGAATCCCAGAAACTCCTCAGCAGACTGCTTGTCATCTTTTTTGAGTAGGCCTACCAAACTAGGAAAAATGAATATTTGGCAAAGAGGACTGGAAAAACCATGATTGGCTTAGACTTCCAGGGTTCATCTTTCAGGGTCAGGGCTCTTTGCTGTCCTAAAAAAATGGGGTTTTTCTTTCTACCAGGGAAGATGTGGGAAAATGGCTGTAGGGTAGATAAGAATTGTACCTGTCCCTAACTAATTCTCAGGCTGTTCCACTGCCTGTGACCACCTTCAGAATTCTGATTATATGAAACTATATGTAGGTAATGAGAAAATTACCACTTGGGCTTATCAAAGATAAACTTTTGTCAGTTTTTCAGTATATGATATTTGGTTTAAATGCAAATTCTTAGAATCAAGTTCATTTATTACTTACCTGAGAGTCACTTTTTTTTTTTTTTTTTTTAATTTTATTGTGGTTTGGGTGGGTGTTTACAGAGCAAATTAGTTTCTCATTGAACAATTCATACACATTTTGTTTTGTGACATCAGTTGCAGTCCCCTCAACGTAACAGTGCCCTTCCCACTACCTCCCTGGGTTTTCTATTTCCATGTTCTCTCACAGTAATATGAGAGATGTATTGTTCATGTGTTGTTTTAATTTTCTAAGGTAGTTTATTTTTAATAAATTGGAGCATATATCCCTTGGAAATAATGTTTCATTACTTGATTATAAACTTGTGTATGATTCTACATAGTTGTTCAACTCTTTGTAATTTTTCAGAACATGAATGAAGCCTCTTCTCTGCTTAGTGCCACATGTAATACATTCATCACAACACTAGAGGAATGTGTGAAGATAGCAAATGCCAAGTTTAAACCTGAGATGTTCCAGCTGCCCCATCCGGATCCTTTAGTTTCTCCTGTGTCACCTTCTCCTGTTCAAATGGTTGGAATTTTTTGTTTTTCTCCCAAAGAAATTGCATTTTTGTGGGTTTAAGTATTTCTAAGGGGAGAAATTGTTGAATTTTTTTTTGGTGAGGGTTACGAGAAGGACTTTTATTTTCCATTGGAGCATCTTGACTGATGAGCTCAGCCAAGATCCTGATCCTCTCCCTTTTGGAGGGACTGGGTAGGGCCTGCTGTGAGTTGCTTTACCCATTCATCCATGTGTGCCAAGCAAATGTTCTAATTCTGTGTGTGCTGTGACGTGAGAAATGTTGGGGAGTACTGTTCTTGGTAAAAACATCACAATGGAGTAACATTAAGAGATCTTTAAAGGAATTGTAAGGGATTTGAAAAGATATGTTACAATGGAAACAGTACTTTGTAATCAGTATGGGGATTTGAAGCTTAGAGCCACCACGTGTATCTGAGTAGGCAAGTTAGTTAATCTCTTTGAACTTCAGTTTCTTCCTTATAATAGAGGTCTGAGTGTGTACATCAGAGGGTCACGGTGAAGAGTCTGACATTCTGTAGGCGTAGGTGCTTAATGGTAGTTTTTTACCATCTGGTTACTGTGGAACAACAAGTACTCTTTGCTGGGGGTGGCCAATCTGTTGTCCTTTCCAAGCTAATACATTTGCTCTAGTGCTGTGGGGAACTCACAGGTGAGATCAGGTTTGATGCAACTTTCAGTTTTTTTTCATCAAAGTGTTTTAGGGGCTGTTTTGTAGAAGGAGGAATGGCACATTTGTAAGGGTTTATGTCTGCTATTTTAGCAATTCCCTAAAGACTTGCTAGTTAGAAGAAAGAATAGGATCCAGCTTATCACTCGGTTCTCATATCCTCCACAGCAAAGTTAGTTGTTTGGGGTTTACCAAAAGATTATTACCTAAATTTATTTAGATCACTGTTTTCTAATTGTGTCCTCTGAGACAGGTATATATGAAAAAGAGTTTTATGGCCAACTTAGTTTGGGAAGTGCTACGTTAACCTAAATGAATGGAGGTTTTTTTGTCTTAGGACTTCTCAGGGAGCTCTGGGGGCATAGTGCCTAAGGCATTTGACTGCTAACCAGAAGGCTGGCTGTTCAAAGCCACCAGCCACTCCTTGGAAGGAAGGTTGGGCAATCTACTACCGTAGTGATACCGCCTCGGAAACCCAAGGAGGGGTTGCTCTGAGTCGGATCCGACTTTGGCAGTGCGTTGTGTTTTGTTGTTGTTAGGACTTCTCAGAGCCTCTTGTATGCTCACGTGTATTATGAATTTCAGAGGGAGAGATAGTGTGCTGTGTTTCTGCAATTTAACTAGTAAACCCTTTTTGTTTATTTTGAATAAATTCTCACAAGACTTGTTGAGTAGAATACAGTTTGACAGTGTTGCTTTTTAGAACAATTATAAGATTCGTTGTGAACTGTTAAATAAGGTACATATTCAGACAAAAAAAAAAAAAAACAGACATACAGTGCCATGTTCATGAAATTAATATACAAGGGGTATGCTGTTTTTTTCTCTTTTTAAAAGATGTAAAAGATTATGTACGACAAACACACTTCAAAGCTTCCTCACTTCTCATTGAACTTCTGAGAAAAACGCCTTGTTACAAATGCTTTGTTGTCCATAGAAGCTATATGTGTGTGTTATTTGTGCGTTTGGTTTCTTTTAAATCAAATCCTTTTGTTAGTAGAAAAATTACAGGAAATCCAATAAGTTGATCTAGGAAATGATTAGGTTAGGGGCAGCTTATTTTTGCCAGCTCTGCCATTTTACTTAATAAATAAAGCAAGAATTGTGGCTTGTGGTAATTAGTTCTGGAGACACATAACCAATGCAGGTAATGTCAGACAGCCTTCATGGGCAAATCTTTTTTTTTTTTTTTTTAAATAACTTAAGTAAATGAAAAATAAATCTGAAAGATTTGATAACTATTTAACCTGATATTTACAAAAACTTTATGTAGTTAATCTCATTATATCCCTCTTTAGAATACACTTTATTTCAAATCATTGTGGAAATTCAGACAATTGTCATTTTGATCCACAAGTTGAGTGATTATCATAGTGAGGATGTCATTGGGGGAATGATCTTAAAGGAAGTGATTTATGTTATAGGAAAGGTTAACATCCAATTGCATCTTCATATCAGTCACATTAATCCTCCTTCTTATTGGGTAGTCATTTCTGTTATCATTCCAACTAGGATTTCTCAGAGTAGCTAAGGCTCATGGGCAAATATAGAAGGCATTTACATAAACATAATGTTTATGTTGGGAGCTCTGGTAGCATAGTGCCTAAGGTACCTGACTGCTAACCAGAAGGTTGGTGGTTCAAACCCACCAGCCACTCCTCGGAAGGAAGGTGGGACAATCTACTTCCATAGTAATACTGCGTCGGAAACCCAAGGAGGGGTCCCTATGTGTCGGATATGACTCGATGGCACATAACAACAACAACAACAATTTGAGCCTTAAGGTTCTTCTTTTGAGTTCTTTAAATATTTGAATAATTAATGCCCTTCTTCCATGAAAATCACACTTTACAGCATCTGCGTATCAGCTACCTGAATAATGAATGGTAAAGAGAAGCTTTGCTGTGAGACTCTCCTCTTGCTTGTAAAAGAGAGAGAGACTTATAGAATATTTTCTGGATTGGCTAAGTAGTCCTTTCCATCACAAATAGTGTGACTGTTGGAGTAGTTAATATATGCTGCTTTTGTACATTTATATATATTATATGTGTATATATGCATATATTAAATATTATAAAAGTTGGTTTTTAGAATAGAGAAAAGAATAGAGCATGTTTTTTTGTATAAGTTGAGAAAGATTCCAATTAATTATTATTATGGAGAAAGTTTGACATTTTACTATGTTACTTGAGTCTGTAAAAAAATTTCTTTTTACCAGTCATCTTTTTCTCTGACTGAATTAATGTTATGACAATAATAATAGGGCTGCATTATTTTACTTGTCATGAATAATGCTAATTTTTCTTTTTTAATTTCTAGATGAAGCGTTCTGTCAGCCACCCTGGTACCTGCAGTTCAGAGAGGTAAAATAACTTTTTCTTTTAGCCACATTCTCTCAAAATTATACTTACTTAAGGGAATTCTTTGAGCTTTTAACAAGTGGTGTGGAATGTAAGCCTTGTATGGACAGAATTTGGGTCAAATTTGTACCTTGGTGCTTAGTATAGGGCCTTACCACAGTAGGTAATCAGCAAAGAAAGAGTGAGTGAATACATTAACTAATAAAATAAGCATCTGACCAGGTACTGTACTTTTTTAGATGTTTGAAATTACATCAGGTGTTGGTTTGTGGAGATCTGTTGGTGGTTCATCAGAGCTCCAGAGCTGAGGCTCATTGTGCTGCAGCTTTTTATAGCAGCATATGTTCATGCTGAGCTTTTGTTGTCTTAGATGATAAAGATCTCTGAAATACTTAGAAGAGAAAACCAGTTTACATTTAAAAGTACATGGTGGTATCAACACATTTTTTAAAAAATTATCTTCTGGGTAGATCTTGCTAAGATCCCGTTGTTCTTAAACTGTTCTTTATTTTGGTAGGCAATAGTCTTTTAAGTTGCATTGGTGGATGTCTTAGTTATCTAGTGCTTCTATAACCAAAATACTGTAAGTGGATGGCTTTAATGAACAGAAATTTATTCTGTCACAGTTTAGGAGGCTAGAAGTCCAAATTCAGGGTGCCAGCTCTAGATGAAGGCTTTTTGTCTCTGTTAGCTCTAAGGGAAGTCCTTGCCATCAGTCTTTCCTTGGGTCTAGGAATTTCTCAGTGCAGAGGCCCTGGGTCTAAAGTCTGCTCCCAGCTCTTATTTCTTTGTGGTAGGAGATCCTTTTCTCTACTCTATTCTCTCTTCTTTCATCTTTTGTAAGATAAAAGGTTATGCAGGCCACACTGTAGGGAAATTCCCCTTACATGGATCAGGGCTGTGACCTGATTAAGGGTGTTGCAGCCTACCCCAATCCCCTTACAACTGATTAGCTTTTCACATCAGATGGTGTAATGGTGGATCATTACATAACTGTCAAATTATATCATGTAATTGCCAAACCACTAAGAATCATGGCCCAGCCAAACTGGCATATTTTTGGGGACACAATTCAATCCATGACAGTTGTCTTATATGGTTTTCTGGAAAGTGATGCAATTATAGCAACACTAGCATTTATTTCTCTACATTAAGAATGTCAGATCCTAAAGACAGGCATATGAGTTGAACATTTACCTCAAGTAGATACTCTCCTTGGAGAGAACAATCATGGGAGAAAAAAGGGCTGCTTTTGCACAGAGAGACAGCTCAGGGGGCAGGAGTGCATGGAGGGATGGACACTGGGAAGAGGTAACTATGGGGAGGAAGTGGAGGGGAGCTGTTGCATTGTGGTAAACCGTGGTCAATGTCATGAGACAAAGTATATGTGAACTGCTGAATGGAAAGATGGAAAGTGAATTTGCTCTGTAAATCTTTACCCAAATCACAAAAAAAAGAGAAAAAGAATGTCAGATCCTAACAGAGCCCTTATTATTGCTTTGTCAATTTTGTTTTTCTTCTCTGATGATTATGTGATCTTTGATTGAACCATCATGTGCTCAGAGGAGTCCCATGATGATGTAGGTATCCAACCCTATAAAATGAGAATGAAGAGTTTTAGCAATTGAATTTTCTAGTAAAATGGAAACTTAATCCCTTTGACAGACTTTTATTTGTATGATAGAAATTTTTCTTACCTGTATTTTATTCTTTCTTAACTAAAGTACATTGAGCACAATTTAACTTTTTCTTCATGAATCAAGGCCATTGTTAAGAACAGTAATTTTAGACTGTCCTACAGTGGGTAGCTATAGAAGCCCTGGTGGCACAGTGCTTGAAGTGCTTGGCTGCTAACCAAAAGGTTGGTGGTTCACACCCACCAGCTAATCCATGGGAGAAAGATGTGGTCGTCTGCTTCTGAAAAAAACCCTGTCGTGTTGTTCTGCTCTGTCTTATTAAGTTGCTATGAGTTGGCATTGACTTGACTGCAGTGGGTTTCTTTTTGTTTTTTTTCTTCTAATAGTGGTAGCCAAGTGCTGTTTAAGAGTGATAGTGATTTGCTTCTATGTTTAATTGATCCTAGATAGATTTTTTGTTTCAATAGGTTTTTTTTTTTTCTTTTTTAACTGTCTTTTTTCACTGCTGTCAGTGGATCTGCCTTTAGAATGCCCCCCACCTACTTGCCCCTTCAGTGTGCTGTTTATAATCAGTTATGGATCGACACTAGACAGTTGTATTTGTAAAATCCATAGCTTATTTATTTATTTATTTTTTAAATCTTTCTTTCTTTCTTTCTTTATTGTGATTTGGGTGAAAATTTACAGAGCAAATTCACTTTCCATACAGCAGTTCACATACACTTTGTCTCATCACATTGACTACAATTTACGCCAATGCAACGGCTCCCCTCCCACTTCCTCCTGATAGTTACCTCTGCCCTGTCTCCATCCCTTCATGCGCTCCTGCCCCCTGAGCTGTTTCCCTGTGCATAAACAGCCCTTCTTTCTTCCATGATTGTTCTCTCTAAGGAGTGTATCTACCTCAGGTAAATGTTTAACTCATATGTCTGTCATTTGTTTGGCTGGAAGCCACAGGAGTGGGTTCAATTCCAGATCTGAAGGGCAGCTAGGGGCCATAGTCTCAGTGGTTCCATCAGGCTCTATCGGACCAGCAAACCTGGTCCCCTCCCCTTTTTTTTTTTCCAAATGATTTTGCCTAACTCTTGTTCTTTAAACATTTATGAATCACTGATTTCTGATGAAGGCTGCTCATAGCTGGACCCTCCCTTGTGGATACAGTTGCTTCTTCACTATCCCCTTTTCTATTTAGTTCTGCTCAGAGCCCATCTTCCCCAGGTTACCAGCTGGGTTCTAGATGGTTTGACTTACTTGTGGTTTGACCTCTGAATGTTGCCGAAATACTTCTTTGGACATAAGTTACTCTTTCATTTAAAGAGAAGCCACTTAAAACTCCGATTAAGTTGAGAGTGTTTTCATTTGTTTGCCAAAAAAACCAAACTCACTGTCATCGAGTCTATTCTGACTCATAGTGACCCCCATTGGGTTTCTGAGGTGGTAAGTCTTTACAGAAGTAGATTGCCCAGTCTTGCTTCCACAGAGTGGCTGGTGGGTTTGAACCACCAACCTTCTGGTTAGCAGTCATATGCCTTAGACACTGTGCTACCAGAGCTCCTCCTTTCATTTGTTTAAGGTCTTAAAAATTAATGCGTTTTCCCCTCCTAACTTAGTACTTTTAATTTCATTTGCAGGAGTAGTCACTCTGTAAAAGAACCAGTGTCTACTTTTCACCGACTCTCCCAGCGACGCCGAAGAACCTACTCAGATACAGACTCTAGTAATGATATTCCCCTTGAAGAGCCAGATAGTAAGTTAGATGGGCTCTACCTCTTTCTTTGGTCTGGTTAGCAAAATTGTTGGGCTCTGAAATTGATGGGAGTGAAAGAATACTGACAGTGAACACTGTACTTTGCCCTTGAATTAATTCCTTAATTCAGAGCTAAATAAACAGCACACAATTAACAGAAGCTCATATATCCTCTTACCAACAGCTTTGTCATTGACTGAGAAGTGCTGAATATCTCATTATAAAACAGAATATCATAACCTTTTCCTTCCACTAAATTTACAATAAAAAAAATTGTTTTTGAAGAAAGCATAATTATAATTTGGATTTCAGGGGGAAATAAAGACACATTTTCTAAGTTCAAAGGAAAATAAAATCAACATTGTTGCTTTACTCAGATAACTTGAAATGGCTGAGGAAAATAATTTTGCCTGGTGGTAGTGGTGAATTATAGTAGCATTCATTGCTCTATCTTTTCTCTTTTATTACATGAGATAGCATACTGTGACTGAATATTTTAGGAAGAACTTTGTAATTTTTGCTAAAATTTTATTATTTTTCTCTTCAGAGAAAAAGCTTTGAAAGTGTGGTAGAATATCTAGTTAGACAGTAGTGACCTTCATTTCCAGTAAACACAAATATGGCCATATCATTTTATTTCTGTTAATAGACTTCTGCTTTTCAAAGTCTTACCCTGTGAAACACGTGGGATAGAAATTACATACAGTTCCCAATTAAGGAACAGGTTGTTTTCCAAGAGTTCATTTGTAAGTCAATTGTTTGGAACACAGATTTTATTTCCCTTATGGAAACAACATAATAAATGATGATTAGATCTTTAGATAGCTTTAGAAGAGCCCGGCTAATTCATATTATGACTGAAATAGGACAAAGCAGCATTGCATTTCTAGTATTTGAATATATTGAATACATTGAGTGAGGTAGAGCAGTTAACTAGAAAGTTAAACAGTTTAATTAGAGGAGGATATAGAGTTCATAGGAGCCCTGGTAGTGCAATGATTAACCACTTGGCTAGTAACTGTCAGGTTGGTGGTTCAAACCTACTAGTTGCTTCATGTGACAAAGATGTGACAGTCTGCTTCTTTAAAGATTACAGTCTTGGAAACGCTATGGGGCAGTTCTACTCTGCCCTATAGAAGACCCACTGCCGTCGAGTAGATTCTGACTCATAGCAACCCCATTGGGTTTCTAAGGCAGTAACTCTTTACAGAAGTAGATTGCCCAGTCTTGCTTCCATGGAATGGCTGGTGGGTTTAAACCACCAACCTTCTGGTTCACAGATGCCTTAGGATCATTAATAGTCAGAATTGACCCAATGACAATGGGTTTATAGAGTTTGTGGAGATTCCAAAAGGGACTGCTGGCCATTTTCCAATCTTTAGAAGTTGGTGGGATCATTTTCTTTTCCCCCAAACTACTCTGTGCTCATTCCCATGTTGGATTTAAGTTGGAACAATGAGTTGATAAATAAGGGAGGGGAAAAAAGCATGCGATGGGAAGGTTAAGGCAGAGAAAAACTTTTCTGGGCCAACTGAGCAAGACTTAGAAGGGAAAAGGAAAAGTGGAAGAGGGTTCAAGAGGTTGGGCATGTGAGTAAAATACTACTTGAGGCAGAATTAGATATGTACAGTGAAAGACAGTGCAAAGATGGGGAGCACAGCAAATGCACAGTATCCAGATACTGGATCTGTTCTTTCTTATCTAATTAAAAAAGCAAAACACAAAACCTATAACCTATTCCTCTCCTTCACTGCCCTTCCTCTATAGGAATTACTCATTCATGTGTTTCCCCAATGACTTAGTACCTACTTATTCCAAATGGACCTCAATACCTTTTCACCAAAAGGCTGCTTCTCCATTCGGTGACTAACACCATCTTTGACCCACTGTCCTAAGCCAGAAACCTAGGTGTAGACCAGTGTTTCTCAAACTTTAATGTGGTTACAAATCATTTGATGTTCTTAATGAAATGTAGATTCTGATTCAGTGGGTAGTGTGGGGCTTGAGATCTGCATTTCTAACAAGCTCCTAGGTGATACCAACACTTAACCAACAGTAACAAGATTATATACAAACTTCTTTAGCATTCTTTTTGGAGCTGTTTATAACCTATTGTTTGTTAGAAGTGACATTTACTACTTGACTGCTTTTATCTTCTATTTCTAGTTTCATATATAAAGATACTAAGATATAGAAACATTGTTTTTCCAAGATCCCATTATTAATTGTGGAAAAGCAGTTAATCAATTGACTAGAACCCAGGTCGACTGATTCCCAGCTTTGTTTCTTTTCCTTTTCCTGCTCTGTTGCCTCATATTGTCATTTCTGACTAGGAGTCATTATGTACTGCATTCATCCCCTACAAGAAGAGCCAGCAGTCCAATAGCATGGCCTCCAACGCCCATAATGGTGCTGCCCTTAGCCCTGACCCCACCCCACAGCCTTCAGAACTTTCTTTTGTAAGTCTTTACCTTCAACTATTCATTTCTCATCATTTCTCTCTTATTTTTAGGAATTTTAATATCTTTTTAATATTTATTTTTAAAACTATTTGTAAAATATTGTGTCTGAAGTTTTAGTCTTTGTAGTCTTCTGTACTATTATCATCAGGCTAAGTGTTTTATCTTTTTGTCTTCTCTTTAGGAATTTGTTCATGGCACAATGAGTGGTTTGGCTTTCTAGCAAAATGCATAATAGAATACTCCAGGACTCAGTTGTGTGCTCAGTATCTTCTGTTTGCCCTGCACCATTCCCCATCCTGCTGTGTCCTGAGCATCAGTGGGGTCTCTGACTTCCTGGCTTCCAGATGGGTTTGGCCAATGGGGGTTATTGGCAAGAGACAGGAAGAGGGAAGCAAGTAAGGTTGGCATTTATTTCCCCAGTCTGAGGTTGGCTTCTTCCCTTGCCAGAATGTCACAACTTCAGCAGAGTACCTCTCTCCTGTAGCACTCTGGATTCTCGGAATTACTTCCTCCCATTGATCCTTCACGCATTGTTGTTGTTGTTGTTGTTATGTGCCGTTGAGTGGGACCCGACTCATAGCGACCCCTCCTTGGGTTTCTGAGGCAGTATCACTACAGAAGTAGATTGCCCCATCTTCCTTCTGAGGAGTGGCTG